TGCATGTGCAAGCCTCTTTTAAAGCAAGCATGCCAAGTGCTTCTCTCTCTCTGCCTCTCTGCTTCTTTGCTGTCTCTCTGTTCCCTCTCTCTCTCCTGCTTTCGGTTGGCCACCAGCTACCTCCTCTTTCTCTCTCCTCTCTCAATAAACTCCACGTGGGCGCTGAGTCTCATGTTTGTGTTTCTTAGGCATTAGCTGTGCAGCAAAAGAACAACATTGGTGCCAAAACCCGGGCAGGCTCTCCTTGAGGGTCACTGGTGGCCGTCTGCTGGCGGGAGGCCAGCCAGAGACACTTGGAATCCTGTTTCTGATACCAGCAGTCCGCCTCTATCACCCCACCCCCACCACCTCACCCCCACCCCCCCGGTGCGCTGGAAATACCACCCCAAACAGACTTCAATTAGGTAAGGTACCCTTTTAAATTTTAACCCATTTCCTTAAGGTAGGGTACATTCCTCAGGGGTAGAAGACATACCGCCCGGGGCGGTATATCTGCTCTGCTCTCGGACTGCAGAGTCCTTTTGGCCGCTGTTGGCCCTGGCAACGTATTCGGGCTGATGAGCTTCGAATAATGCTCTGCCATTCTCATTTATGGTGTGGCCACACTCTTGAGCTGATGAGTTCCAAGACTGCATGGTCACTTTCTGCTCTACTCATGGGGAATAAACCGACCAAGCTAATACCCCTCACCACTCCACTGGGATGCCTGATAGATGCCACTTGTTAAGGCACCCAATCTTATATACCTTTGTACTGAAAAGTGGCCTAGATATCCCCTAGAAAATAATTCAAATTGGCCGCGTAACAGCTCTCTAGATCCTGATATTTTACTGGATCTTTCAAATTACTGCCAGCGAACAGGTGGATGGAAGGAGTTTTTTATATCTCTCTGCTAAATAATCTCTTACCCTAAACTTATTTCTGTTCTCTTCCCACCACGTTAAAACTCTCCTGCCCGCCGCAGCTGCAACCTGTCTCAGAGCAGTAGCCTGGGCTGAGGAAGCATCTACTCAAGACAAAATTTTATCTCAAAACTTTATGATTTCTGCCAGTTGTTGGGGATATGTTTATGGCAGCCACCATCTTGACCATGTGGCCTAGCCTCACCCCCCCCATGGTTCTTCCCTCTGCTACACCAGCCACCTAGGCAGAGGTAGTCTAGCCAGCTTCTGCCACCAACAAAACCTGTAATTCATTTACGTTTTGCTTTTATTCTTTTATTTGCTTTATTCTTTGTCTCTAATTTCTTTTTCACTATGTCATACATAGCTTCACATTCTAGTCTTCTCAATTTTACCCAGTCCTGTTTAATGTATCTGTACATTAAATTTAAATTTATGTAAATGTAAGCTAACTTCATACAACTTAAATTCAACTGTACTAAGTCTCAAATACTTCTAAATTGTTATGTGCCTTTTAATGATGGTAAACATTTAAGGTTATACATGTCTATTTCAAGCTAACAAAATATTTATGCTACTCAGTCTTTCCTGTAAGCTGTTTATAAAGGTTAAGCCTCTATTATCAAAGGGAGTTTTTCTCTACCTCTTTGTCCTCTACGGGTATAAGTCTAACCTACTAAGTTAAAACCAGTTACAGTCAGGCTGCAGGGCTCTGAGTAAAACATCCCTCCACAGCCTCTCAGCTTGGATCCAGTTTTCCACACAGATTAATTAATTACAGGAATAAAGCCTTACCTAGCCACCTATGTGCTTAAGGCAGGTAACTAAAGACATATTTTTGTGTACTAAGGTATGCTAAACAGTCAGACAGTCCTCAAATGCTCAGAGATGTAGAGAATATGGCATTTAAAATGTTTCATTAAAAAGCTTTTGTAAAGGAGAGACAGGCCAGCTGCTGGCACCACCCATTTCCTCCAAGAAGACTGATGGACACTGAAAGAAGCTCCACCCACAAAAGTGGCTACGCTAGCCACGGAGCAATCCTGCCTTTCATCTCAACTGCTGCAAAGGGCTCTAAGGACCGTGGACAAGAGGGCAGTGGAATCGACTTTCTCCACGTTGCTTGGGCCAACGGTAGGTAAGTCTTCCAAAAGCTCGTAATCCACAGGTCTCCTGCCATCAGCAGAAGGCGGACATCTTTAAAGCCTCTGACTTCAACAACTGTGGAGGACCTGGGGTGGCTGTCCATGCTGCCAGCTAGTAAGTCTCTGTTACTCTCTAATCATTCAGGTAAAATTTTATCCTTCTCAAGAACTCTGATGCTTTTGACAACTGGTAGCTTTGTCAGCTTAAAGCAGCAACAAAGGCTCCAACTGTTTCAACAGATTTCAATGGGTATTTTAATGTTGCTACTGTTTATAGTCTTTAATCAATAAAGTTTTAACAGTGTTAAACACCATACTATGCCACTATATGATCACATCTGTAACTATGACCTTACAATTAAGGTGCTTTTCATTGTGCTAAAAATCTGCCAGCTGCATGTGTTAATTCTTTCAGCCAAATCATTTCTAACATGAGTATGCTGCTAATGTGTCTTAATATTTATGTTTTCACAAACTCAAAGGATTCTTTTAAGTTCCAGGGAGCAGAATTGGATCCATTTACAGGTCAGATTCACTCCAAATAAATTACTCATCTTTTTCCTGGTCTTGGGACTTCCTTCCCTTGTCCCCGGACCCCCTTGGGAGCTCCTCCCGCACCTCACACGTCTCCCATTAAGTACTAAGACCTAAGGAAAAAAAAAAACCTAACCTTGTCCTCTGTTCTGCTAACATCTTGCCAATTCTCAAAGAGATGCCAGAGCCCCATACTGTCAGAACTGTGATGAAACAACCATCTACCAGGACGTGGCAGCACCCCAGTCTTTGCGGATTCCCCCAAAGACTATCTACGCCCCCAATTCAGCAGGAAGCAGTTTCCAGAACTCAACGTCCTTGGTCCTTGTTCCCTAACCTGCCGCGCCCAACCCCCACCTTTTTAATAACAATAAGAGGTAGGAATGTTAGGAACTAGCAGCCAGCTGACCCCCGCCCCAACGATGGGCAGGATGTCATCACTAAGTCAGCTTTACCTGGCAGCCAGAGGACTCAGTTACTGCATGCACAAGCCTCTTTTAAAGCAAGCACGCCAAGTGCTTCTCTCTCTCTCTGCCTCTCTGCTTCTTTGCTCTCTCTGTTCCCTCTCTCTCTCCTGCTTTCTGTTGGCCACCGGCTACCCCCTCTTTCTCTCCCCTCTCTCAATAAACTCCACATGGGCGCTGAGTCTCGTGTTTGTGTTTCATAGGCATTAGCTGCTCAGCAAAAGAACAACAGGTAGTATGCACATAATCTTTGTGGGGAAGTTTAGAAGCAGTAGTCCTAGGAGAAGTCATAAATGATTCCTTTGAAATTCCATCAATCCAATATCCCCATGATGTACACATAAGAAGCACCCCAAGCACGCAAGATGTGGAGATCAAAGCCAAAGTCAGGTGGTGAACATCATGAACTCAGCTTTGCTGGATCTTGGTCAAGATGCTGGGCTGGATGCAAGACTTTCACCATTCCCATCAGAAATGCCTGCACCATCATGGATAGCTTCTCTCATTCTAATATGAAGTTTTGAGAGTGAGCAAAAAATGAGAAATTATGGCAACAGTTTTTGTGTGTTTGGTTTTTGGTAGAATTTAATTCTAATATGAAGTTTTGAAACTAAACAAACAATGAGAAGTATATGTGTTTGGTTTTTGGCAGGCTGTGCTTTCATTTGCAATTTGAACCCTGATGGGAGATGTCATCCTGTATATGTTTCTCATACTGGTTAATAATAAAGCACTGTTGGCCAATAGGATAGGAAGATGGGAGGGACTAGGAAACAAGGAGGAAATAGGAAGTAGTAAAGAGGAGTGAAGATGGAGAGTCTGGAGAAAGCAGTATGCTGCCGGCTCCCTGGTAAGAGAAATACATAGATCAGCAGAAATGGGTTAATAATTAAGATAGAGCTAGCTGATAAGAAACTAGTAACTGGCCAACAGGATAATATCAAATACAGAGTCTCTGTGTATTACTTGGGGCTGGCGCGGCAGCAGGACAAGACCAGGCGGCAGGCGGAAAAACCGAACTCCTTACAGATGGCACCCAACGTGTGCCACAGAAGGACTATCTCACTACAGAACCCTAGGTAAAGGATTTAGGAAATGAATGTGTTTGGTGGCTGTAATTTGTATCGGACAATGACACATAGGTTTTATATACGATATAAATTCATGCGGAGTCTTAGAAATATGAATTGTATGGTGTACAGCACCACATTTTTAAGTTACTATATTTTTTCATTATTATTATCATTATGATTGTTGACAATCACTATGATGTTCTGACAGTCCTAGAACTGACTATATAAACCATGATGGCCTCAGACTCACAGAGATCTTTTTGACTCTGCCTACAGAGTGCTGAGATTGAAGGCATGTACCACCTTGCATGGCATTATTCTCAATGTTTGGATATGGAAAGACATATATAGCTCACAACTGTTGTTAGGCATAGTTTCAGAGAATATTATGTCTCCTTCTGGCCTCCAAAGTCCTCAAACAAACAGATAGTGCGTAGAAATTCTTGTAGACTTAATAATTCACAGTTACTTTTGCAGAATTTTATTTCAATATTAACTATGTGTTTTTCATAAGTTTTAAAACTTCAACAAAGTCTTTCAAAAGTCCCTTATATTTACATCTCCATTATGTATAGCTGGGACCTATAAGTCAAGAGTACCATGTAAATGCTGTGTCACATGATTTACAATGGTGTCTGTGTAGGATAAATTCTGTGATGTCTTCTAAGATTTGAGAAGTGGATATAAGAGATGCTGGTCTTAACTTTGTGAAGTTTCTCTGTGATATGTCTTTTCTGATGTGCTCTAAGATATGAGCAGCTACCAAAATTCTTCTTACATTCCTTACATCTCTAATACATCTCTGTAGTGTGAACTCTCTGAAGTATTCTAAGATTTTTTTATGTAGGCAGAGGACTTGTTACATCACAGACATTTTTTTTTTTAACTGTTTATTTCCTGTATGGATTTTCTGATGTCTTCAAGTTTTGATCTGAGGATAAAGGCCATGTCACATTCTCCACATTTGTAAGGCTTCTCTCCCGTATGGATTCTCTCATGTCTTGTAAGATAAGAGCATATAGTAAAAGATTTGCCACATTACTCACATGTATAAGATTTCTCAACAGTATGAATTTTCTGATGTTTTCTAAGATATTTGCATGTTGTAAATGATTTGTCACATTCCTGACATTTGTAAGGCTTCTCTCCTGTATGGATTCTCTGATGTATTCTAAGATATGAGCATGTAGTAAAAGATTTGCCACATTCCACACATGTATAAGATTTCTCTCCAGTATGAATTTTCTGATTTCCTCTAAGATATTTGCTGATTGCAAATGATTTGACACATTCCTGGCATTTGTAAGGCTTCCCTCCTGTACGGATTTTCTTATGTGTCCCAAGATATGAGCATGCAGGGAAAGATTTGCCACAAACCCCACACGTATAAGAATTCTCTCCAGTATAAGTGTTCTGATGACTTCGAAGATGTGCACGTGTTGCAAATGATTTGCCACAGTCCTGGCATTTGTAAGGCTTTTCTCCAGTATGGATTCTCTGATGCGCTGTAAGAGTTGACTTCACAGTAAAGGATTTATCACAGTAACTACATGTGTAAGGCTTTTCTCCTGTGTGAATTCTTTGATGATCTATAAGAGTAGTCCTTGCAGCAAAGCATCTGTTACAGTCCTTACACTTGTAAGGCTTCTCTCCTGTGTGTATTCTCTGATGCACAGTAACATTTTGCAACAAAGTGAAGGATTTGTCACAGTACTTACATATGTAGGGTTTCTCACCAGTATGAATTCTTTCATGTACTTTAAGATTTGACTTCCCAGTAAAGGATTTGTTGCAGTCTTTACATGTGTAAGGCTTCTCTCCTGTGTGAATTCTCCAATGCACAGTAAGATATGAGGCAGTACTGAAGAATTTCCTGCATTTCCCACACTGGTATCGTTTCTCTCTAATGTAGTTTGGTTGTTTCAATAGATTAAATGTAGTGTCAAGGCATTCATCACATTCTCCCTGGGTATCCTGTTCCTTTGCAGGGTAGAGTCCCTGAACTTGAGCAATGGTGGAACACAAATTTAAGGATTTCTCACAAACTTTAGAATTGCAAGGTTCATCTCCAGTGAGCATGCTTTCCTTTCTATCTGGGTTTGATGAGTCAAGAGAGGCATCCCTGTGGTTACTGCATCTGTAGTTATTAGAGTTTTCTGTATTTTCACTTGTTCTATAAAGTGCACATGTGGAGGGGTCATGAAGAATTTTTCCAAAAATATTACACTGACAACACTCCTTTTCAGTCTTCACTCGTTGATAGACAGGATCACATATGTAATAATTTTCTGGAAAGTGAGTAAGATCATATTAGAAGGGAATGTCCCAAATTAAAACATCTAATAAATGACATCTATCCATTTTTGTTCTCCCATTTAAAAAAGTCAACCAGCAGCCACTTAGATATTTTCCTTAAACTTAATTGATTATGTTATCATGAAATCAGACTGACATTCTTCAGCGTTAGTGAATCATAACAGATACATTAACCTTATTGAAAATGTGCAATGAAAACAGATGCATCAGGAAAGTGAGGAAGAAATAAGTTCTGTGGGATGTGCTCATTGACTCATTATATTTAGAATACATGTGTCCATGTTTAAATAATTCCTCGGACTCTTATGAAGAAGAGTGCAGTTCAATCCCAGGTTCACGGTACTTATACTTATGAAGTGTAGTGTTCACAAGACCAAATTCCTTAAAAGATTAAAGTCTTACTTGAAAGTATCACAGGGTTTATTTTTCTCTCCAGAAAAACGCATTAGATTCTTCAAAAGTAGCAGAGGGAGAGACAATAATCTGCAGGTATCAGGGACTCAGATCACTTGACACAGGGCTGACATGGGCAGCTATTGGTTATTCCTATTCCCCCTTGTCTGAGCTCCACATGGTGCCATGTTAACTTTCTTCACAGAGTTATTTGACTCTAATCTTTACACTAGCTCCTGAGAGTATTTTCCAGATTGATGCCTGTCTATCTTCTACTAAGAAGATAAGGGAGTATCATTATAGAGACAGACATCAAGGAAGGCCATTAAAGAATAAACCTATTTCCTGCACCCACATTGGGCTTATGATTTGTAAAATTATTCCAATCTGATGTCAAGAACATCAATTCCATTTCCATTTTATCCTAGTATTTTCATCCTAATTCAGGTGTAATAGGCTCGGGCTGTAGTAGTTACAACAGACAGGATGCATCCTTGCACCAAGAAGCTATGCTATATTACATTGCCAAGAATCCTTTCAAGTGTAGTGGAATATGGCAAAAACATTCTCAGCTCTTCCTTTCTCTTTTACCAGAAGCCATCACTGCTGCCTTTCTCATTCACAAACTCACTGTGCATTCTTCCCTCTCTACAATCCAGGGGAATCTCATTTGCACCCAAGAGGTTACCAGGACCACCTTGCATATAATAGTCCACATGTTCTCTGAAGCAGCCCATGGCCCATGTGTAATTTAGAGAAAGAATACAGACAGCTAACAAGGTGCTGTATTAAGCACCTGAAAAGAACACCAAGCAGAGGGATGTAGGAATGTTTTCCAGTTGCAGATTCCTGTCAGAATCTTCAACAAATTTGGAGGAATTTAAAGTGTACACATCTTCAGATACTCCTCAGAAGTGTATCATGTTGGGTACAAAAAAGTTAACAGGCTTTAATAAATGGGTATAAATATTATAAGATACGAATTTTCTGATTGCATTGCGGAATCAAATGAGGATTGTTGGAAATATTTTACATGGAGAAATGAAAAAAAAAAAAAACGAATACCATGAAAATGTTCTTTTCTTCTACGAAACATTCCATGGATTCTTGTGGCTTCTAAGGCAAATTAACAGAGAGTTTACAAACAACAATGCTAATACATACAATGGATTACTTAGCAATTCTACAAGACAAATGCTCTTACCCACAGAGGCCAGGTTGTTGTAATTCTCCAACATCACATCAATGTACAAAGCCCTCTGAGCAGAGTCCAGGCACTGCCACTCCTCTTTGGAGAAGTCCACAGACAAGTCCTTGAATGTCAAGGCACCCTGAAACAAAGGACATGTTTGACTATGTGTACCAGATAGAGTGCTTTCCTACATGTAAGCAGACTTGAGGAAATTAGGGATGTACATGAAGACAGCTACTCATACAGACGATTTTAATATAGTCACATTGTATAATGGATGATTTAACTCTGCAAAAAACAGTTGGACACAACAGATGTACTAGCAATATCCACCAAACAAGACACACTTTTATGTCTGAACATGCTTATGTATCTGTTATGGCTGCTGTGCTTATGTACTGCAGAATCAGCATGTGCATGTCTAAGAAAAAATACTTACCGTGAGAAAATGTGCCTTAATTTCTGTACTTGTAGATGATGGTAATACAGTGACTGCAATCAATTCTGTGTATTTTTTGAGATTAATGTTTCTATTCCAACATGCTCAGTTTGTATATTTGAATCTTTGGTCCCTTGCCTTCCATTACATAGAAAAGTGGTACACTTGAAAAGTATAATTCATGGTTGAGTTCACAGGTTAATAATCTTTTTTCCACAGTAACTATGTGTGTAATAAAAGCACTGCATGATTTTGTTTTAAACATTAACACATAAGAACAGGTAGTCTATGTTATCACTTCACATGTATTTTTGAGCTACTACTAAGCACATTTGATACAATCTAAAATTTACCTAGAAAATAGCAATATGGCAAGTTAGGCTAAATAACAATGTGAGGTATTTTGAAGAATATTTCATTTCTGTAGAGTTATAAAAATTGATGGAAATCCTATTAGAGAATATTTGTTTAAACTGCGTGAATATGTGTCTATGTTTTGCCTCACCTGCCTAAGGCACCTGATTGGTTTAAAATAAAGAGCTGAGTGACCATTAACTAAGCTGGAGTTATACAGAAAGAAAGAACTCAGAAAGAATTTGGTGTAAAGAGAGATTCCAGAGAAACAAAGAGCAAATTGTAAGCAAAGAAGGATGGGTACAAAGGAAGATGACAGAACATAGATTAATAGAAACAGGTAAGCTGGAGTTATAAGAGGTAGTTTGAAACCAGCCTGTGCTAAAAGCTAACCTTTCATAATTGACCTTATGTCTCAGTGCCATGCCTGGGAACTGATGGTCCCACAAAAGAAATACAACTAAGATGTCCAAAAATACATCCTAGGATGTTTAAGTTGTATTTAAGCAAGTATGCATAATTACTAATGTGGATGCATTCAGAAGTGATGTAATGTCAATAAGGGAATATATGACATTATGTGAGAAATATTATCACTTTGTCAGATGTAATGCAGCTCAGAAGAACAGCTCAGGAGGAAATTCGGACTTTTTTGCTTTTTTTTTTTTTTTTTTTTTTTTTTTTTGCACCTGAGTTCTGTAGTTGTCGATGTGTACCCTTTTTGTACTTATGCTGTATTGTCTAACATACTTAATGCTAGTGGTGTTCATGATTCTTTATTTCTGTGGAAGTGCACAGTCTGTCTGATCCATGAGGAAGGAATAAATGCAAACCTGTAGGTCAGAACCCATTCCCCAAGTCTCACTTAAAGCACTGCAGCTTCTTGGTAGGCAAGTAGAACCATGACTCTCACAGAAATTGACCAGGACAAAGCAATCATGAGGAATGTTCTTTCTGCATCAAAACCATGGCTTCTGCACATCAATCAATCAATACCCTCAAGACATTATTCTTGATACATGCTACAAAATGGTACATAATGAATCCCGAACATGAAAGCTTACAGAGTGGAATTCTATTTAGGGAAGAAACGAAAAGACAAATAAAAATATGAATCTCTGGCCTGCTATAGTGGCACATGCCATAAATCCCAGCACTAGGGGGACAGAGACTTGTGGATCTCTGTGAGTCTGAGGTCAGCCTGGCTTACATGCTACTTGTGGGAGCACCAGGAATACACAGGAAGATTTTCTTGAAAAACAAACCAAACAAACAAAGGCCAAGGCAGTAATCTCTAGAGTTTGGGAAGTTGCAATTGAGCATCCTAAAGAAGAGAGTGGTGCGAATATGACATGCCCTTAGATAAACAGATAGCAGGTGTTATCAAATACATGGATCTATCATCACTTGATGGGGGATGTTCTTCTGTATACATGTTTCTCTTATTGTTGATGAATAAAACACTGTTTGGCCAGTAGAGACAAGAGAGGAGGAGAATCCTGAGGAAAGAGGCAGAGAGAACAGAAAGAAACACCTTGTAGCCACCAAAGAAGTAATAGATCTGCACATTCTCCCATGAGCTAAAACCATGCAGAAATACATACATTCATACTTACTGGTTCCTAATTAAGAGAGAAAAGCTTAAAAAGGATAGAAACCCTATTCTTCAAATGGCACCCACACAGAGACTAAAACTTAAAAGGAGGCGCATACTGGCTCGGCATTACAGGCAAAAAGTGCAGGACTTTTTAAAGAGGCCCTGCTACCAAACAAATAAATGGTGAATTAAATGGTGTTTATGAGCAGCCAACAGTATGCTTGGGGATGGCTGCCTAAACTGAGGCAGTGAGCAGAGCTCGCAGAGCAGCCAGTAAATGTACCCTGCCACGTGCAAAGCCAGCAGCTAAAATGTCTGCTTTAATTTTAGCAATGTCGTTTCCGAGAGAAAAGACCGTGTCCAGGAAAAGATAGAGATATACAGTAAAGACAGATTCAGAGGGAAAAGGAAAATCCTCTAAATGGCTTATGGTGTGTTTAAAGGTATACGTAGGCTTGGGAGACAAAAGAAAAAGGATAAAATCCTTAAAGAAATGGAGAACCGGGGTCTGGTGGCACAGGCCTTTAATTCCCAGCATCTGGATCTCGCAGGTGAATGTAATTACATTCTTATCTTTCTTTCATTGGAACAAATTCATTCAAAACAGATGAAAAACCTTATTTAAAGCCAGAAACAAATATAACTCTAGAAAACAGAGAGAATACCCACCAGGATATTGGGATGGACTAATACTTACTTATTAGAGAAAATAACAGCACAGGAACAGAACATAAGGGACTACATGAATACTCAAAGGTTCTGTATGGAAACAATCAGCAGTACACATGGACAGACAACTGACAGGACAGACTCTACCAGGGACACTTCAGAAAGGGACTCATACCTAGAATTTACCAAGAACTAGAGAAATTAAATAACGAGGAACTAAAACTGCCAAACAATAAAGGGGCAAATGAATTGCATAGACAATCTTTAAAGAATAATATACCAATGGCCAACAAATATTGCAAAAGTGTTCAGGATCCCTAAAATGCCATCATGGAAACACAAAAAAACAAAAAAAAAAAAAAAAAAAAAGAAAGAAAAAAAGAAAGAAAGAAAGAAGGAAAGAAAGAAAGAAAAAGTGATTTGAAAAATGGCTGTCTTCAACTATCCATAAAACAAATATTAGGGAGAATCAGGTGACAGTGGAACACCCATTCACTGCTGGAGTATGCAGGGGAGTGTAAACTCATACTGTCATTGTGGGAATCAGTTTGGAAATTATTGAGTAAATCTAAGAGAGAATCTATGACCCACCAATGTCACCCCTGAGAACATAACCAGAGAACTCCAAATCCCAATACTCAAAATGTTTGTACCCCTAATTCACTGCATTCACCATAACAAAGTATGAGAATCAAAACAATTCTATTAAAATGTTATACATATAAAATGGAAATCCATTCATGGGAGAGGAAATGTCAATAAAATCTTCAGTAAAATGTTTGGATTTAGAATATGTACTAGTAAGTGAGGTCACACAATGTCAGAAAGTAGAAATCACATTTTCCCTCATTTGCAGAAACTAGCCAATAACATGACTATATGAGAAACAATTTGCATGTGGGCACAGCAGGAGTTGGAGGTAAGGGAAAGAAAGTTTGAATATCAAGGTTGAGGTGGGACTGAATACATGGAATGCACACCAGTTTAAAAACATGATATATATCTAAGTGCTTCCCTAACTCTAATTCTATCACAGTAATTTTTCTTTTTTTCTGATGGATAACTTGATAAATACATATTCAATAACAAAAATGTAAAATGCCTTTTGGATCACTACAGTGTCCCTGCTCCCAAAAATTAACTACATAAAAAATACATTGATTTTACAGTTTGTAATTGGTTAATTTCAGTGTGGGATTTTTTTGTCATTGTTGTCTGTTTGTTTGTTTGTTTGAAACAATTTTCATAAAAAATTAAAATACCACTAGTAGCAAATGGTAAGGTCTTCCAATGTCTGAACATATATTATATTGAGAAAGGTGTATATGTCCACTGACCTGGGAAATGGTTACTGGAGAAACAGCCATTTCTGTCTTTTTTTCTTCTTTGAGTTTACCTTTCAGGAACAATGACTAGATAGGTGGCCTGTTGTCTTTTCTAGTAAGGGATGAAGAAGAAAAACAGAAAATTAATACTGAAAGCTGTTAGAGAAAATATCAAATCACCTGAAAAGATCCAAGCAACCAAAATACCAGGTATCCAGACAATGATCCTAAGTTCACAGAGCTTTGAAAGACATTTAAAGCTTGAAGATAAAATCAGTATCAACCTCATCATTACATCCAGAAAAGATCTATCTTAAAATTAATGGAGACTTAGTTACTATGATTCATTTCACTAATCGGTTTGGCAGACAATAATTAGAGGCAAAATTTATAAGGAGAATGGGTGGGTTTATCCATGAGAATATGGGAAATAATACATTTCATATGAATAATAGTTAATTCATGAGAAATGGACAAGAGAGCAAACCAATAATTCCCACACAGAAGTAGTAAAACTACTGCCAGATAATCCAAGCATTAACAACATCACAAACAAAAGCATAGTGAAAAAACTGCCAGGACCATAATCAAGGACACAGATGTGGACAATTGTCAAACAAACAAGTCCTCAACTTAAATAAATTCAGCAAGTCAACCCAGCCATTCCATTCCTTGGCATAGTCTCAAATGACTCAGCATCCTTCTGCACAGGTACTTGTTGAGCCATATTCATTTCTGCTCCATGCACAAGAGCTACAACTTGAAAACCTTCTGAATGTCTGTGAACTTAACACTTAGTAAAAATGTGGTACTCTTACACTATGAAATACTATTGCCTTGTAAAGAAAATTGAAATCATGAGCCTTGCACCTACATGGATGGCCCTAGAAAAGGGCATATTGAGTGGAGAAAACCCAGACCCCGAAAGACAGACTCTCCATCTTCTCTGTCATAGGAAGTCTTAGCTCAAATATTCGGATGCAAGTACAAAACATGGAGTAAGGTCAGTAACTGGAGAAGTAAAAAAGGAGGCCACTGTGGGGTGAGGTAGAGTTACGGACAGCAGAAAAATAGGGAACAATGATGCAAAATGCAGCGAACTGGAATAGAGCTGTGTATGTCTGTGTGGGTGTGTGAAAAGTATGGAGAAGGGACAGACATGAGCACAGATGAGTAAAATAGCAGCAGTGATGTCTCTAAGAAGTCACAAGGAATCTCTTATCATCTTCCAAAAATGCCTACAATACATTCTCTGTAAGCATGTACAGTTAGAGCAGAAATGATGATTTCCAGTCTCAGCTGATGATGCTCCTCACAAGAGTCACAGATTTTCTAACAAACCACCCACAGCAGCCTGCTTTGAAGTTGATGGTCACAGCTGTTGCTGAGATTCCCAAAGCATTACAGGCTACTGGGGTTGTCCATGTTTGCCTCACACAGTGAAGAGGTGAAGCCCTACTGTTGAAGAAGCCATGTGCTTCAGTCATAGCCAGAGGACTTGAGAAGAACCAGAATACAAAGCCTACTCCCTGGGAACTAGTTTTCACGGTATCCTAAGGCAACAAGCAAGGCTTTATAGGAGGGAGCCAATGGTTCTACCCAACTCTGACAATTATGATCCATAACAATGATCTACACTACACAATAAAGCATAGAGTACAAGAGTGACACACTTGCATCGGTGGTAACCAACTGCTTCTACTTGGGTTTCACAGTGCCAACAAGAAAATCATGCCTGGTCCCGGAAACCAGGCCATTTTTGAGTGAGTGAGGGATGGATCCTGGGGGAGAACCTAAAACCACTAATGCATCACTCACATGTATATTCATATAAAATTGATTTGCCTCCTAGAGTCAATTCTTATATAGAAAAGTAATTCTGAGATCTTTCTCAGTGGAGAACAACAGGTTTTGTAGCCAGTACTCTAAATAGTCTTAATAAGCCAAGACTCAGATATCAATGTAAATGTTGAAAAATCGGAGAAGTAAAAGAGTCAAGCACTAGTAAGAGTTCTTATCTTTAATGAATCCTGAGACCAAAAGTGTGAGAGTCAATTTCTAGGAATCCTCAGACTGAATGGAATAAGCTGGTATATGTTCCTTCCTATATACCTCTCTCCACCTAGTCGAATTACCTCTTATTGCTGGAATAAAGGTGTGAGCTCTATTTTCTTTTGAGTCTGGTTATATCTCAGGTAGCCTGTGGTGGCCTTGAACTGCTGTCAGCTTATTTTCTCAAACCCTGGGCTGGGATTAAAGGTGTGGCCCTCCACAGCATGGCATCTATGGCTTAAAGGGCTAGTAGGTAAACTCTGATTTTCAGGCAAACATTGCTAGAGCATAAATAAATTACCACAAGCTTCCGCAGTTGTTTTGATGCATGCATTTAATACTACAACTTGGGAGACTCAGGTGGGTGAGACTCTGTGAGCCTCCTAGGCATGGAGAGTCCTGAGCAAGATAGAGCCACACCTTGAATTCAGGTCTCAAACACAACAAACAAAGGAACCTAAATTAACAGTGTGGTCATGTGTCCATAAACAGAGTGCTTATTTTGGACCAAGGAGATGAAAGAGTCTTGTAGAGAATTTTCTGCTAATTTTATCCTGTATTATGACACCTCCCCTGATTTTCTTCATGCCCACCACCTGGGGGACAGTTTCTCTGTTTAATCCCAGATATCTGCAAACTCCCTCTGTAGACCAGCTTGGCAAGCCTGCCTCTTCCCAAATGCTGGGGTTAAAGGCTAGTGTCAACACCATCTGTTTCATAATACCTCTTCCAACTATGATCTGATACCATGAAGCAAGATACTGTGCTATTCTAGGTACTAGGGTGCAATATTAAGAAGTCAGCATGAGAAGACACAATTTTTTTTTTTTTTAATCCCTCTCCTTTTTATCCTGAGATAAGATGTCACCATGAAGACCTGGCTGTCATAGAATGCACCATAACGATCAGGAAAGTCTTTCACCCAGTTCCACCTCTCTTCACCTCCCCAGCAGTGAGAATTTATAAGTGTTTTTTTCTGCTGGTCTGTCTCCACCCACAGCCATGCCAGCCCCAAATAATACACGGACACGCTGTATTAGATATGATTCTGTAGGCCTCTTATTAGTGGCTATCTAGAAGCTTAATCCCGCACTCTGATCTTCTGGCAAGGTTTATTTTTTAGATTACAAAAAAAAATCTTTCCATTGTTTAAGTTAAAATAGTGCAACCAATATATTATTCAGCCAAGCATTATTTTTTTGGATTCCACACAAAATATTAGTACAGGTATTGTTCTGCTAATAATTCATTTGTTAAATTACAAACTAAATATCATTACATGTATGTACTTCTGGACTACAAATGTGAATTACTCCATCTGTGGCTCTGGGAACCCTGAGGAAGAGGAGGAAGAAAGGAAATGAGAAGGGAAAGAGGAGGAAGGGCTAAGACACGCCATTCTCTAGACTCCACACAGCTGTTGTAATCAGTAATCAAAGCATCTCAACTTATCATCTGTGAACTCACACTAGACCACATCAGTCTAGCAAAGAAAAAGGCTCACAGACCCTACACTCTCCTCATCTAATGTTGCTATGGATGGATATTAGGAGAAGAATCATTGCCTTAACTGTAGTCCTCTACTGAGCCCACCTGCCTCCACCACATAGCTGCAAACACAGTCTCAAACATGGCTCTGGTTAATATCACTGAGACCAAGAAAGTGAATAACGAAGCACATAGTAGAGGGATTGATTAGAATCGTAGAATAAGGTAGTAGACAGATAGGAGATGAGTCTAGGCAGTGATTGATGTGGGCATGCTCAAAGACACACATGTGCTGTATATAAAAGGAGACTCCTGTGGGGTGTGGGAGAATATAGTCAGAAGAAAAATAGGAAGCAATGATCTAAAACAAGTAGGAAATGCAGTGTGTGTTTGTGTGTGTGTGTCTGTGTGGTTAATGGAGTAGGGATAGGAATAAACACAGAATGAGATAGAGGAAAATAACAGTAAGGATTTCTGAAAAGGTCATAATGATGCTTACTTTTACAACCTATAACAATCTAGTAATACATCTATAATTCATCTAAATCTGTATCAGCAGTAATATTGTGTCTCATCTCATGAGGCTCCTCATAGGAGCCATACATTTTCTAAGAAAGTAGCTACAGCAGCCTGCTTTGATATTGTTGGTCAGTGTGTCTTTGAGATTTCAAAACAGTACAGGATACTAGGTTTTTGCATGTTCACCTCTCAGAAGTGGAAGGTGTGCCCCCTACAGCTGAAGAAGCCATGGGATTGAATCACAGCCAGGACACTGGAGATGAACATGAATTTAAAGCCTCTTCCCTGAGGACTAGTTTTCATTGTATCTTAAGGCAACACCCAAGCTTTTACAGAGGCCAGGCAACAGTCATACACAACTATGACAATTGTGAACACAACAGTGCTCCACACTGCATGAAACCACACATGCTACAAGCCTGATAGACAATCATTGGTGGTGAACAACAGATTCTACCTGGACTTAAAGCCTTCTCAACAAGTGGGAAATCGTATATGATACTGGGAACCTAGGCACTCTCTGGGGAAAGGAGAGGATGGAACTTGGAGGAGAACATGAACCCACTGTCCAGGACTCACATGCATATTCATATAAAATTGATTTGCCTCCTAGACTCAGTTCTCATGTAGAGAGTCTTCTCATAGCTACAGCAGGATTATTCTGAGACCTTTGTCAGTGGATGTCACTAGAAATTACTTCCAGTGAATCTGAATGTGGCAAAACTATATTTGGCTCATCAGATATGTAGCTACTGTGTCCTCCTTCTCCACTTTACAGGGCTCTTTGTTGGGCTCCAGGGGTGAGCATATCTGGGTGATCATTTACCCGGCACATGAGAAAAACATGGCTCAGAAAGCACCTAGATTTCTCAGATACAGCAGGATAATTCTGAGACCTTTGTCAGTGGATGTCTACAGTAATAACTTCCAGTGATTTCCCATGGTCATGCAGAGTTCACAATACTGAAAATACCTAGAAAACATTTTCCTTGAATGCAACTTGAATGCCGCTTTCCCATCACTTCTCACTCAACTCCAAGGGGCAGAAAAGGAACTTAATGACTGGGATCACAAACATTAAAAGACTATGTAATGAATATATCATGGACCAAATTTGGTGAAAGTCTTACATCTCCCAAGGGGGAACACTCTTAGGGAACATTTTTCCAAGAGACACCCAGGAGGAACAAACAAATTATTCTCATCCACACTAACCAGTCTGCTGCATCCCTGTAACATCCCATCCCAGTACAAAGCCCTGTAAACAGGCTGTAGGCCTCGAACTTCCTCCTGAGAAAAGCCCACAGTTACACCACTGGCAGGCAACAGACCACAAAATAAAACTCAACAGGGTGTGTAGCCAGAATACCAATTAGTCCTATAAACCCAGAGACGGTTATCAGTGTAAATGCTGACAAATCAGAGAAGTAAAAGACCCAGCCTATAGCAAGACTTCTTACCTCTCCTGAATCTATTGCGGTTTAATGACGATCAGGATGACCAAATAGATGTTTATTCAGGGAGAAATGGCCTACAACCTAGACAGATGAACACCAGCAACTTCTACCAGAAGCTCTCCTCTCCAAGACCTGCCAGCAAGAGAGAGCATTCCAGGGCTCCTCCTCAGACCTTCTTCCAGAGGTCACTTCCGCCCCTGGCTCCACCCCCAATGGGCGTGGTCAGCTTCACAGAAGGAGGCAAAGTGAACATCCCTCTACAGGAATCCACTGACCAAAGGAGAACCTGTTTCTAGGAATCCTCAGACTGAATGCTACAAGCTGCTCTCTCTTCCTGCCTGATATACCTCTCTCTGCCCAGCAACTTCATTCCCACCTCCTCATTGCTGGGATTAAGGGTGTGACCTCAGTTTCTCTGTTAGAATGGTTCAAGCTTTGGTACAGCAGGGTGGCCTTGATCACCTGATTTTCCTGTTTCCTCATCCCAAGTGATGGGATTAAAGGTGTGTGCCACCACTGCCCGGCCTCTATGGACAACTAGTGTCTAGCTCTACACTCTACCTCCAGGCAAGCTTTATTTGGTAGAGCATGAATAAAATACTATCACAAGATAGAACAGTTGTTTTGCTGCATACCTTTAATCCTAGTAATTGGGAGAAACTGGGGGTAGAATTCTCTGAGGTCCACTTTTGTGTGTTCTACATGTTGAATCCTGAGCAAGACAGAACAACACTGTGAGCTCAGTCTCAGGCACAAGAATGAATATACACTGATTGATCATGTGTCCGTGGATATAGTGCTTATCTTGGACCAAGGAGATAAAAGTCTCTTGTAGATAGTTTTCTAATATTAATGACTTGTCATAATTCTTAAAAAGATACTTTCTAATTTTATCGTGTATTTTAATGTATTCTGTTTCTTCCTTTTTCCCCACACCTGAGAACATAGTTTCTCTGTGTAATCCCAGCTATCCTTCAACTCCCTCTGTAGACCAAGCTGGCAAGGAATCCCAAGATCCACCTGGCTCTGCTTCTCAAATGCTGGGATTAGAGCCTACTGCCAACAGTAACTGTTTTATAATGCCATTTCTAAATGTGAAAACACTGCCATGTGATACCATAAAAAAGCCTATTGTGTTTTCCAGGTATTCAGGTGAAACATTAAGAAGTCAGCACAAATACATATTTTTCCTTTCTTTTCTTTTGTGCCTGAGCAATGTCTCACCATGAGGCCCTGGCTTTAGTTGAACCCTGTGTTGAGAACAGGCTGTCTACAACACACTTTATAGATTCATGTGTCTTTGCCTTCTTGTGTTGCGATTATAGTTATTTGCCACCAAGGTGTCAGACACTTTTCAGAATGCTGAATGTACATAACAGGGTGTCAGTGTCTGAGATGGAAGACTAGCAGTGGGCCAAAAAATGTCAATTTTAAGTGACACCGTTTACAACCTGCCTGTGGATCTCACAAAATCTCCATTTGGAATTCAATTATGTTTACATATTATAAATGTCAAATTCCATTTTTATATGCCACTCTTTTAAGTTGGAAGTGATTTAACATGGAAGTGAGCATCAATGACTGTAAACTTCAAGAGCTTTGTGTGCTTTCTACCAAAGCAAAAAGACTGTTTGCAAATATCAACACATGTATTTGAATATTTACTAGATTACACTAAAAGAATATTTTTGGTGTTTGCAGCTGGAGCTGCGCCACTAACACCAGCGCCTTCTCTCACTTGCTGAGCTCCAGCAGAAGGAGCAGGAGGGCAAGTAAGGAGGTGCTTATAGCATGGCTCCTACAAAGCAGAGTGGCCGTAAACCCACCGGTGGTAAAAAGCACCCCAGGAAAGGACTGCCTTCCATAGCGGCTTGCAATACTGGGTCCTCTACTAGAGCAGTGAAGAAAACTCATTGCTACAGGCCTGGTACTCTGCACTCCAGGAAACCAGAGGGTATCAGAAACCACTGGACTTCTGATTAGCAACCTCCCTTTCCAGCCTCTGGTGGGAGAAATTGATCAGGACTTCCTAGCAGTGTTTTATTGACTTTTATTGTCAGTGTGTCCAGGAAAGACACACAGGCCAAAACTGCTGCAGTTATTGTTCTATTTATTGCCTAATATAATATTCATACAATATATCTTAGAAAATTAATGTATATGTCTTATCCTGGCAGTATTATCCCATGGTCATGGAACACAAAAGTTGCCCCACACAAGCTAACTTTTCTAACCCCTGAAGGTCCTGACACCTCGTTCATTGATCAGTTTCCGCAATATTCTTTTCCCATCAATATGAGTCCCTGTGTAGGGCAGAGGTTAACTCTGGCCATTTTAACATTGTTACTGGGTGTGCCCCATAATCGCCTGAATGTATTGTAAAAAGACTTACACTTTTTTCTGAATATCTTATTCATGAGTACATACAGTCATGGATGTTTCAAGAACATTTCAGAGCCTCTACTAGAGACCTCTGGCTTCTTTATTTGCATCACCTCATGGAAGGTATAAGGAAGACCTTGAAGTTAGATGAGGATATCTCCCTAAAATCAAAGAGGTAGTATGCACATAATCTTTGTGGGGAAGTTTAGAAGCAGTACTCCTAGGAGAAGTCATAAATGATTTCTTTGAAATTCCATCAATCCAATATCCCCATGATGTACACATAAGAAGCATCCCAAGCAGGCAAGATGTGGAGATCAAAGCCAAAGTCAGGTGGTGAGCATCATGAGCTCAGCTTTGTTGGATCTTGGTCAAGATGCTGGGCTAGATGCAAGACTTTCACCATTCCCATAAGAAATGCCTGCACCATCATGGACAGCTTCTCTCATTCTAATATGAAGTTTTGAGAGTGAGCAAAAAATGAGAAATTATGGCAACAGTTTTTGTGTGTTTGATTTTTGGTAGAATTTAATTCAAATATGAAGTATTGAAACTGAACAAACAATGAGAAATATTTGTGTTTCATTTTTGGTAGGATGTGCTTTCATTAGCAATTTAACCCTAGGTAAAGATTTGTCAAATGAATGTGTTTGGTGGCTGTAATTTGTATCGGACAATGGCACATAGGTTTGATATACGATATAAATTCATGTGGTTTCTTGGAAATATGAATTGTATAGTGTACAGCACACATTTTTAAGTTTCGATATTTTGTCATTATTGTTATCATTATGATTGTTGACACTCACTATGATGTTCTGACAGTCCTAGAACTGACTATATAAACCATGATGGCCTCAGACTCACAGAGATGTTTTTGACTCTGCCTACCTTGCATGGCATTATTCTCAATGTTTGGATATTGAAAGAGATACATAGCTCACAACTGTTGTTAAGCAAAGTTTCAGAGAATATGATGTCCCCTACCTGCTCCCATAGACCTCAAACAAGCAGATGTTGTATAGAAATTCCTGTTGACTAGACACCTCACATACATTGAAAAATAATTCACACAGTTACTTTTGCAGAATTTTATTTCAATGTTAACTATGTGTTTTTCATAAGTTTTAAAACTTCAACAAAGTCTTTCAAAAGTCCCTTATATTTACATCTCCATTATGTATAGCTGGGACCTATAAGTCAATAATACCATGTAAATGCTGTGTCACATGATTTACAGTGGTGTCTGTGTAGGATAAATTCTGTGATGTCTTCTAAGATATGAGAAGTGGATATAAGAGATGCTGGTCTTAACTTTGTGAAGTTTTTCTGTGATATATCTTTCCTGATGTGCTCTAAGATATGAGCAGCTACCAAAATTCTTCTTACATTCCTTACATCTGTAATAGGTCTCTGTAGTGTGATCCTTCTGAAGTGTTCTAAGATTTTTTTTATGTAGGCAGAGGACTTGTTACATCACAGACATTTTTTTTTTTTACTGATATTTCCAGTATGGATTCTCTGATGTCTTCTAAGATTAAATCTCTGGACAAAGGCCATGTCACATTCTCCACATTTGTAAGGTTTCTCTCCCATATGCATTCTCTGATGCCTTGTAAGATAAGAGCATATAGCAAAAGATTTGCCACATTCCTCACATGTATAAGATTTCTCAACAGTATGAATTTTCTGATGTTTTCTAACATATTTCCATGTTTTAAATGATTTGCCACATTCCTGGCATTTGTAAGGCTTCTCTCCTGTGTGGATTTTCTGATGTATTCTAAGATATGAGTATGTAGTAAAAGATTTGCCACATTTCCCACATGTATAAGATTTCTCTCCAGTATGAATTTTATGATTTCCTCTAAGATATTTGCGGATTGCCAACGATTTGCCACATTCTTGGCATTTGTAAGGCTTCTCTCCTGTATGAATTTCCTTCCGTGTTCCAAGAAATGAACATGCAGGAAAAGATTTGCCACAATCCCCACAAGTATAAGAATTCTCTCCAGTATAAGTTTTCTGATGACTTCTAAGATGTGTGCGTGTTGGAAATGATTTGCCACAGTCCTGGCATTTGTAAGGCTTCTCTCCAGTGTGGAGTCTCTGATGCCCTGTAAGAGTTGACTTCACAGTAAAGGATTTATCACAGTAATTACATGTGTAAGGTTTTTCTCCTGTGTGAATTCTTTGATGATCTATAAGAGTTGACCTTGCAGCAAAGGATCTGTTACAGTCCTTACATGTGTAAGGCTTTTCTCCTGTGTGAATTCTTTGATGATCTATAAGAGTTGTCCTTGCAGCAAACGATCTGTTACAGTCCTTACATGTGTAAGGCTTTTCTCCTGTGTGAATTCTTTGATGATCTATAAGAGTTGTCCTTGCAGCAAAGGATCTGTTACAGTCCTTACATGTGTAAGGCTTTTCTCCTGTATGAATTCTTTGATGCTCTTTAAGTTTTGCATTCACAGCAAAAGATTTGTCACAGTACTTACATTTATAGGGCTTCTCTCCTGTATGTATTCTCTGATGCACTGTAACATTTGGCAACGAGGTGAAGGATTTGTCACAATACTTACATTTGTAGGGCTTCTCTCCAGTATGGATTCTCTCATGTATTTTAAGACTTGACTTCCCAGTAAAGGATTTGTTACAGTATTTACATGTGTAAGGCTTCTCTCCTGTGTGAACTCTCTGATGCACAGTGAGATACGAGGCAGTACTGAAGGATTTCCTGCATTTCCCACACTGGTATCGTTTCTCTCCAGTGTAGTTTGGTTGTTGCAAAAGAGTATATGTAGTGTCAAGACGTTCATCATATTCTCCCTGGGTATCCCGTTCCCTTGCAGCATAGAGTCCCTGAACTTGAGTAATGCTGGAACACAAATTTAAGGATTCCTCACAGACATCAGAATTGCACGATTCATCTCCAGTGTGTATGCTTTCATGTCTCTCTGGGTTTGATGAGTCAAGAGAGGCATCCCTGTGGTTACTGCATCTGTAGTTGTTAGAGTTTTGTGTAGTTTCACTTGTTCTATAAAGTGCACATGTGGAGGGGTCATGAAGAATATTGCCAAAAGCATTACACTGGCAACACTCAATGCTGGAACACAAATTTAAGGATTCCTCACAGACTTCAGAATTGCTCGATTCATCTCCAGTGTGCATGCTTTCATGTCTCTCTGGGTTTGATGAGTCAAGAGAGGCATCCCTGTGGTTACTGCATCTGTAGTTATTAGAGTTTTCTGTAGTTTCACTTGTTCTATAAAGTGCACATGTGGAGGGGTCATGAAGAATATTGCCAAAAGCATTACACTGACAACACTCCATTTCAGTCTTCACTTTTTGATAGACAGAATCACATATGTAACAATTTTCTGGAAAGTGAGTAAGGTCATATTAGTACAGATTGTTCCAAATTAAAACGTCTAATAAATGAAATCTCTCTTTTTTGATCTCCCATTTAAAAGAGACAACCAGCAGCCACTAAGATATTTTCCTTAAACTGTAATGGAATGTGTTACCACAAATTCAGACTGACAGTCTTCAGCATTAGTGAATCATAACAGATACCTTAACTTTGTGCAATGACACCAGATGCATCAGGAAAGTGAGGAAGAAATAAGTTCTGTGGGATGTGCTCATTGACTTATTACATTTAGAATACATGTGTCCATGTTTAAATAATTCCTCGGACTCTAATGAAGAAGAGTGCAGTTCAATCCCAGGTTCACGGTACTTATACTTATGAAGTGTAGTGTTCACAAGACCAAATTCGTTAAAAGATTAAAGTCTTACTTGAAAGTATCACAGGGTTTATTTTTCTCTCCAGAAAAACGCATTAGATTCTTCAAAAGTAGCAGAGGGAGAGACAGTAATCTGCCAGATATCAGGGATTCAGATCACTAGAGACAGGGCTGTCATGGACAGCTATTGGTTATTCCTATTCCCCCTTGTCTGAGCTCCACATGGTGCCATGTTAACTTTCTTCACAGAGTTATTTGACTCTAATCTTTACACTAGCTCCTGAGAGTATTTTCCAGATTGATGCCTGTCTATCTTCTACTAAGAAGATAAGGGAGTATCATTATGGAGACAGACATAAAAGAAGGCCATTAAAGAATAAACCTATTTCCTGCACCCACATTGGGCTTATGATTTGTAAAATTATTCCAATCTGATGTCAAGAATACCATGAAAATGTTCTTTTCTTATACGAAACATTCCATGGATTCTTGCGGCTTCTAAGGCAAATTAACAGAGAGTTTACAAACAACAATGCTAATACATACAATGGATTACTTAGGAATTCTACAAGGCAAATACTCTTACCCACAGAGGCCAGGTTGTTGTAATTCTCCAACATCACATCAATGTACAAAGCCCTCTGAGCAGAGTCCAGGCACTGCCACTCCTCCTTGGAGAAGTCCACAGACACGTCCTTGAATTTCAAGGCACCCTGAAGCAAAGTACATGTTTGACCATGTGCAATCAGATAGAGTGCTTTCCTACATGTAAGCAGACTTGAGGAAATTAGGGATATACATGAAGACAGTTACTCATACAGACCATTTTAATATAGTCACATTGTATAATCGATGTTTTAACTCTGCGAAAATAAGTAGGACACAACAGCAATATCCACCAAACAAGACACACTTTTATGTCTGAACATGGTTATGTATCTGTTATGGCTGCTGTGTTTATGTACTGCAGAATCAACATGTTCATGTCTCAGAAAAAATACTTACAGTGAGGAAATGTGCCTTAATTTCTGTACTTGTAGGTCATGGTAATGCAGTGACTACAATAAATTCTGTGTATTCTTTGAGATTAATGCTTCTATTCCAAAAAGCTCAGTTTGTATATTTGAATCTTTGGTCCCTTGCCTTCCATTACACAGAAAAGTGGTAGACTTGAAAAGTACAATTCATGGTTGAGTTCACAGGTTAATAATCTTTTTTCCACAGTAACTATGTGTGTAATAATAGCACTGCATGCTGTTGTTTTAAACTTTAACACATAAGAAGAGGTAGTCTATGTGATCACTTTTACATGTATTTTTGAGTCACTACCAAGCACATTTGACACAATCTAAAATTGACCGAGAAAATAGCAATATGGCAACTTAGGCTAAATAACAATGTGAGGTATATTGAAGAATATTTCATTTTTGTAGAGTTATAAAAATTGAGGGCAGTCCTGTTACAGGATAACTGTTTACACTGCGTGAACATGTGTCTATGTTTTGCCTCACCTGCCTAAGGTACCAGATTGGTTTAATAAAGAGCTGAATGACCATTAACTAAGCTGGAGTTATACAGAAAGAAAGAACTCAGAAAGAATTTGGTGTAGAGAGAAACAAAGAGCAAATTGTAAGCAAAGAAGTACAGGTACAAAGCAAGGTGACAGAACATAGATTAATAGAAACAGGTAAGTTGGAGTTATAAGAGGTAGTTTGAAACCAGCCTGTGCAAAAGGCTAACCTTTCATAACTGACCTTATGTCTCAGTGCCATTCCTGGGAACAAAAGAAATACAACTATGATGTCCAAAAATACATGCTAGGATGTTTAAGTTGTATTTAAGCAAGTATGCATAATTACTAATGTGGATGCATTCAGAAGTGATGTAATGTCAGTAAGAGAATATATGACATTATGTGAGAAATATTATCACTTTGTCAGATGTAATGCAGCTCAGAAGAACAGCTCAGGAGGAAATTCGGACTTTTTCGTTTTTTGCACCTGAATTCTGTAGTTGTCAATGTGTTCTCTTTTTGTACTTATGCTGTATTGTCTAACATATTTAATGCTAGTGGTGTTTATGATTCTTTATTTCTGTGGAAGTGCACAGTAGTTACATATTCTGTCTGATCCATGAGGAAGGAATAAATGCAAACCTGTAGGTCAGAGGGCATTCACCAAGTCTCCACTTAAAGCACTGCAGCTTCATGGCAGGCAAGTAGAACCATGACTCTCACAGAAATTGACCAGGACAAAGCAATCATGAGGAATGTTCTTTCTGCATCAAAACCATGGCTTCTACACATCAATCAATCAATACCCTCAAGACATTATTCCTGATACATGCTACAAAATGGTACATAATGAATCCCGAACATGAAAGCCTGCAGAGTGGAATTCTATTTAGGGCAGAAACAAAAAGACAAATAAAAATATGAATCTCTGGCCTGCTATAGTGGCAGATGCCATAAATCCCAGCACTAGGGGGATAGAGACTTGTGGATCTCTGTGAGTCTGAGGTCAGCCTGGCTTACATGCTACTTGTGGGAGCACCAGGATTACACAGGAAGATTGTCTTGAAAAACAAACCAAACAAACAAAGGCCAAGGCAGTAAACTCTAGAGTTTGGGAAGTTGCAATTGAGCATCCTAAAGAAGTGAGTGGTGTGAACATGACATGCCCTTAGATAAACAGATAGCAGGTGTTATCAAATACATGGATCTATCATCACTTGATGGGGGAATGTTCTTCTGTATACATGTTTCTCTTATTGTTGATGAATAAAACACTGTTTGGCCAGTAGAGACAGGAGAGGAGGGGAATCCTGAGGAAAGAGGCAGGGAGAACTGGAAGAAACCCCTTGTAGCCACCAAAGAAGTAATAGATCCGGGCATTCTCTGATAAGCCAAGACCATGCAGAAATACATACATTCATACTTACTGGTTCCTAATTAAGAGAGAAAAGCTTAAAAAGGATAGAAACCCTATTCTTCAAATGGCACCCACACAGAGACTAAAACTTAAAAGGAGGCGCATACTGGCTCGGCATTACAGGCAAAAAAGCACAGGACTTTTTAAAGAGCCCCTGCTACCAAACAATTAAATGGTGTTTATGAGCAGCCAACAGTATGATTGGGGATGGCTGCCTAAACTGAGGCAGTGAGCAGAGCTCGCAGAGCAGCCAGTAAATGTACCCTGCCACGTGCAAAGCCAGCAGCTAAAATGTCTGCTTTAATTTTAGCAATGTCGTTTACGAGAGAAAAGACCGTGTCCAGGAAAAGATAGAGATATACAGTAAAGACAGATTCAGAGGGAAAAGGAAAATCCTCTAAATGGCTTATGGTGTGTTTAAAGGTATACGTAGGCTTGGGAGACAAAAGAAAAAGGATAAAATCCTTAAAGAAATGGAGAACCGGGGTCTGGTGGCACAGGCCTTTAATTCCCAGCATCTGGATCCGGCCGGTGAATGTAATTACATTCTTATCTTTCTTTCATTGGAACAAATTCATTCAAAACAGATGAAAAACCTTATTTAAAGCCAGAAACAAATATAACTCTAGAAAACAGAGAGAATACCCACTGGGATGGACTAATACTTACTTATTAGAGAAAATAACAGCACAGGAACAGAACATAAGGGACTACATAAATACTCAAAGGTTCTGTATGGAAACAATCAGCAGTACACATGGAAAGACAACTGACAGGACAGACTCTACCAGGAACACTTCAGAAAGGGACTCATACCTAGAATTTACCAAGAACTAGAGAAATTAAATAACGAAGAACAAAAACTGCCAAACAATAAAGGGGCAAATGAATTGCATAGACAATCTTTAAAGAATAATATACCAAAGGCCAACAAATATTGCAAAAGTGTTCAGGATCCCTAAAATGCCATCATGGAAACACAAAAAAAAAAAGAAAGAAAGAAAGAAAGAAAGGAAGAAAAAATGATTTGAAAAATGGCTGTCTTCAACTATCCATAAAACAAATATTAGGGAGAATCAGGTGACAGTGGAACACCCATTCACTGCTGGAGTATGCAGGGGAGTGTAAACTCATACTGTCATTGTGGGAATCAGTTTGGAAATTATTGAGTAAATCTAAGAGAGAATCTATGACCCACCAATGTCACCCCTGAGAACATAACCAGAGAACTCTAAATCCCAATACTCACAATGTTTGTACCCCTAATTCACTGCATTCACCATAACAAAGTATGAGAATCAACACAATTCTATTAAAATGCTATACATATAAAATGGAAAACCATTCATGGGAGAGGAAATGTCAATAAAATCTTCAGTAAAATGTTTGGATTGAGAATGTGTACTAGTCAGAAGGAAGGAATCACATTTCCCCTCATATGGAGAAACTAGCCAATAACATGACTGTATGAGAAACAATTTGCATGTGGGCA